AAAAAGTTCAAAACAAATTGCAAGTATGATGAATCAGCTCCAATGAGAACAGTTACTGTATATGATGCCTGGTCTGATTTACCTGAGATATCCAATGGAGCATGTGAAGAAGAACTACCTTATGTATCCAATCCTATAACACATTTGCAAAAAAATACTTAGGTACCCAGATAATGGATTCTCAGATTCTATATTGACTGATCATATCTGCAAGGACATGTCACCTTTAGTACAAGCAAGAATGGAATTGATTCCTGTAGGCGAAGGGAGTGATTGGAGAGACCTTCCTAATATTGAAGTAAAACTCTCTGATGGAACTATGACAAATAAACTTTTGTATTCTTATGATGACATTAAAAATGGTAAAGGTTATAATGGTGCATTACGCGGTGTTTGCCAATGCGCTACTGGAAATAAATGCAATCCACAGGATCGTCAAAACAATACTATTATACCATGGTGTTTACCTCATACCGGTAATAGACATAATAACTGGGCAGGTTTATATGGTCGATTGGCTTGGACAGGTTTTTGCTCGACCACTATTACAAATCCTGAACCAATGGGTAAACAGGGTAGAGTTCTTCATCCTGAGCAACATCGTGTGGTCAGTGTCAGAGAGTGTGCTCGATCACAAGGTTTCAAAGATTCATTCTTATTCTATGGTCCAACCATTAATAAACATCGACAAATTGGTAATGCTGTACCTCCACCTATGGGTACTGCAATTGGATTTGAAATTATCAAAGCTATGTGCAGGTATCAAGCTGAAGGATTTTATTAATTTTCTATATTTTTAACAATGGAAAAGATGTTATATAATTTTAAGTTTTATTTTATGTTTATTAAAATATAATGAACAAATATTGTTTTTACTCTTGTTTTGGATATATTTTTAAAAGTATATTGTATTGTGTGATACTATAGTAGGAATACAATTTTTAATTGTAAAATGTATATTATGTTTTAAAGTTAATTGATTTTATTGTTCTAATAATTGTTTTACTAAGAATAGTTTTATGTATTTTTTAATGTGGTAAACAGAATTTTTTTTTGTTTTATTTCAAATAAAGTTTTGTTGTAAAATTTAATATTTTAGTATTACATTTGAAGGAATTATTCAGAATTTTTAGTGTTAGTACTTATGATATTATCCGTAAAGACATTTGTATTTTGTACTTAGTTATTAAATATCAGTTTCATTTTAGTTAATTTATATCAAGGAAATAAGATTTGAACTGATACTCATTTATGATTTTTGTACTAGATTTTTTTTTAATATACCTTAAAATATAATAAAAATTTATGTTGTTACTTTTGCATACATAATGTTAAATGCTATTAGAAATAAAAGAAGTTAAAAGGTTTACTAAGTACATGGATTATATTTATTTATTTTTTGTTGTTTTTATTAAATTATTCAGTTTCTGATTATTGATAATCATCAGTATCTTTAATATTGTATTTATATTGTAGGTCTTAAAATCATCTTGTGTTATACTTTGTTTCAATAAATCAATCATCAAAAATTATATCAATTGCTTGCAGGATAGGTTTTATTGCAATGTATAAGATAAATAATAGTATTAACTTTTATTTTTTCTCTTATTTCACTGAATTGAAATCATTGAAATTTTTTGCAATATTATTCCAATCCACAGCATCTTTTTAGTATAGTATTATTCCAACGTATTAATTCATAAGTTTCTTTATAAAGCCACCAATATTCATTGACCAATTGAAAGGATTAAAGGGAACCTTGTTACATTATAGGACACTCTTATTTTTTTAAAAACCTAACCATTTCGACGTTTTAAAAATTTAGCGAAAATTATTAGTTTTTGAGTGGAAATATTGCAAATTTTCAATATTATGTAGACACGTTTATTAGTGGATAATATTTCTAATCAATGAAATTCACTTCGTAGTTCAATAAGTAGTAACCTTTTGTTTTTTTGGAATCGTGGCCAGGGAGGGAAGTGGAAGGCCCATTACTGCCTCCCTGGTCACATCGTTTATTGTAAGAACATCTTAAAAATAACGGGGCACGCTGAAAGGTTTTTCATCAGGGTACGGGTAACAATTTAAGAGGGCCTCTAACCACCCAGGTTTTGGCCGGTTCAGCCTACAAAGATGTTGCTTAACTAAGTTTGTAAATTTATATTAATTGTGCCGCACCACCTCTGCCGTTTGTCTGCATCTTTCCAGCTCCTCCTTCCTGCTCATGATTTCCTCGACCATGGTGTGGAAAAGGTTGGAGTTTGTGCGAGCTGTGGCCAAGATTTTATCCCTCTGCTGTTTGTCTGGGGGAAGATCATCAGGTGGTGGTGGACACAGCAAATCCGCGACATCCTCGGGACCGGGCGGTCGGCCCAAACGTGTTGAAATCTGCTACCGGGTGGTGTCCCAAAAGGGGCAGACAAACACTGTGTGCTCAGCATCATCGTCGGGTGCCTGGCAGTGCACACACGCTGGGCTGTGTGCCCTTGCTCTGGAGAAGAGGTATTTCTGGAAACACCCGTGCCCTGTTAGTACTTGGGCCATGTGAAAGGACACCGTTTTTGGGCCATCGTGCCACCATCTCCGGACGTCTGGGACGAGGCGCCTCGTCCAGGCGGCTTTTTGGATGGTGTCCCACAGTGCTTGCCATTGCCTGACTACCTCCCTGTTTGCCTCTGCTTTTGATGTAGCGTTGCCTGATTTCCTTGCTTTCGCCATGGACTTTCTTGACACGGCCAGGAGGGGTGCCAGCGGCGTTTTGGCCAGTACTAGCGTGGCCATGTCCGACACGGTCCTGAGCACCTGGCAATCTAAGCGCGGCGGTTCTCTGGGCCTGCAGCAGTGCCTCCTCCGGTTTCCTGACTCCCCGCACCCTATCCGCCCAAACTGATGCGCCGTAGAGTAGTCGGCTTTGCACGAAACTCATTTCGTTTGGACTGTGAGGGGCCTCCTAGGTTTGGCATCAATCTTCCAAGCGCAGTAGCCGCTGCTTTGGCGCCGGCGGCCACCGAGATGGCGTGTTGGACGAAAGAGAGACGAGTATCTAGCCGCACACCTAGGTATCTGACGTCTCTTTTGACCGGGACTGGGACGCCCTGCAGATAGAAATCAGGTGTTCTGTAGGAGTTCTTGCGCGTCAGCATTACACACTCCGATTTTTCCGAGGCAAGAGCAAGATCATTTTCTAGCATCCAGTCTGCCACATCGGAGAGGACCGGATTTACTAGTTGCTCGAGGAGTTTGGCATTCTTGACTATCGCCACGTCGTCCGCGAAAGCGATTAGTTTAACGTCCTTGTTGACCGGCCGACGCAATATGCCGTCATAGAAAATGTTCCACAAGGTCGGGCTGAGTACCGACCCTTGTGGGACGCCGCAAGTGACTGGTAGGCTTGACTCGTTAGCAGTGCGGTTATCACCGAGCAGCTGTTTGCGATCCTCCATGTAGGACCTCAGAATACCAATCAGATATTCAGGCACGGAGGCTCTTTGTAATGCTTCGTCAATCAGTCGCCAAGGCGCCGTATTAAACGCATTCTTGACATCTATGGTCACTACAGCACAAAGTCGCCTGTGCTGGACAGCACCGCTAGCCGCCGCTCGTGCCGTTTCCAGTACCTCCTCTATGGCGTCGGTGGTAGAGTGGAAACGCCTAAAACCGAATTGAAGCTTACTGAGAGCTCCAGATCTCTCAATATGAGCCTCAAAACGGTACAGCAATAGCCTCTCTAACAGTTTGCCACCGCCATCCAGGAGACTGATGGGTCGGAAGCTCGATGGTTGGTCCAACGGTTTTGCCACGCTTTTATGCAGCAGCACTAGTTTGGCACATTTCCAACTCCGCGAGAAGTATCTATTTGTCAGGCAGGCGTTGTAAGTCTCGAGGAAAATCTCCGGACTTCGCTTCGCCGCTAGTTTGATCACTTCATTAGGAATGCAATCGGGACCCGGTGCCTTACCCGAGGGCAGCTTCCTGACGGCTTCTCTCAGTTCTTCTGATGTGAACGGTGGTGTCGATGGTGCCGGTGGTGACGGCTCTTCGTATTGGTCGATGGTCATGATGGGCTGCAGAGAAACCCAACTCCAGTCCACTACGGGCAGTGCTGGGAAGAGTCCTCTCACGATGTTCGTCAGCGTCGGTTCTTCAATAGCGGGTGGTCGACGACCGAGTCTTTTGGTGACGAGTCTGTACTGCACCCCCCAGGGGTCGCTATCCACCGAGTCACACAATTCCCTCCATGATTTCTCCTGGGCCCTTCTAATTTCTGTCCTCAACAGGTTCTTTGCCTGATTGTAGGTCAGGAAGGACTCCTCGCAACCACTGGCGTTTGCCCTACGACCCGAACGCTGGTAGCGCCTACGAGCAGCAATAGCCGCTCTGCGTAGTTCAGCAATTCAATCGCTCCACCAATGCACCGCTTTCTTCCCTCTTATTGCCGATCTGACTGGCATCGCAGCGTTGCATGCCTGGGTCAGGTAGCTTTGGAGGCGCTCTGCGTGCTCCTCGGTAGAGGCGTGTGGCGGGAGAGCAGGTGGTTTGCCGACGCGATCCCAATGTTCCTCAATGCCTGGTGTGGAAAGTTTCTTCACCGACCAGCCGCCCGGCCGGGTTGTTTCCGTTAGATATCTGGCTTGTTCTGACTTAAGCACCGTGTAAGCGATGTACTCATGGTCGCTACCAGAGTACTGCTGCTCAAGTACAGCCCAGCTGCGTACTAAAGGTCGGTTGTCCGAGGATCGGGCGAAAGTCACGTCAATTACTGATGCGGCGTTCGCTTGTCTGTACGTAGGGATGGAGCCCTCATTGCACACCGTTAGGTTTAGCGCTGAGGCGAGGCCAAACAGCAATGAGTCTCTGGCATCTTCTGACGAAGAGCCCCACTTGGCAGAGTGCGCATTGAAGTCGCCCGCTACTACGAGGTCGATCCCCGCAACCGCTTGCTGCGCAATCGATTCTTCGAGGCCGCTGAGGAAGTTGTCGAACTCATCAATGGTGCAATTGGGTGTACAGTTGCAGCTATAAACCAGCTTATCACCCACCTTAGCCCAGGCAAAGCCCTGTCCACAGCCGTGGTCCGAGACGATGGCCGCCGATCTGTTCGGAATGTAAATCGCGCATTTGCCGTCGGTACTATCGACCCATTGCGGTGGGTGCTCCAACGGGCGATAATAGTCGCAGACTATGATAACGTCTACGCTTAATTCCGCAACTGTCTGCAGGAGTAGTTGTTGAGCCGCCCAGCAATGGTTAAGGTTTACCTGTAAAACCTTAAACCAGGGTGTTGAGTCTGCTACTGCTGGCATGGCTGGGGCGGTGGTGGTTCGGCCGGCACTTGGGTGCACTGGCCTCGGTCTGTCCCTCCGAATTTTGCATCCTGGCGTGGGAGTGTGCAGGCTGCCAACAGATGACCCACCATCCGAAGCACCTCCTGGTCTCCTCACCTTTGCACTCGCTGGTAGTATGGTCCGGGGCAGAGCACTTGGCACAGCCTTGTTTCCTCGCGAGATCCTTAATGCGGCATTAGCCCAGCCAACCCTGAGCTTTTTAAGGCGGGCTAGCTTCAGCCCGGGTGCCAGTGGAACCCTGACTATAGCCGTCCGAACTTCATTAGCACCCTCGCGAATCTTGACCATATTGGTTGGTGTCAGCTCATCAATAATTAGTAACCTATGAGTTGCTGAGAGTACTTGGGTTATTCTAATCTCCAATCGTAACGAACATTTATGCATTATTTTCCCATAAAAACGGAACTTCATTGTGTATCTCATATATAATCAATTCCTTAAATACGTATTCGAGGAGGGGGTAATCGCCCCTTCGCCCCCCTAAAATA